TATTCTCTAATGATTCTATTCAATTGTTGTGCTCTTGTTTCGACAAGATTCTGATTAATGTTTTTTTCTATAAATATTCTGATTTTCTTTGGTAGTACCTTCAATAATATCTTTTAAAGTATTATAAAGACATGTTCGAACTGTAAGACAGATTGAACTACAATCCACAACTTATTAATGATATCTATTGCTTTAAGAGTAGTAGCAGCTATTTTAACGTATTTTGAATTTGATTTCTTTAGACCATCAGCAAATACATGATAACTATTTCTTAAAGAAGATACAACTCGTGTTCGAATATTATCAAATTGTTGAGGTAATAAAATATCTTTTCCTAATGTTTTTTCTAATATATTTTTTCAATTCTTCAAAAGATTTTTCGAACTCTTCTTCATTTTTACTTTGAAGATAAAGAGTTTCTATTTTATTATTTATTAAACCAATTACTCCTTTTAATAAATTCTCTTCTATTTTACTAACAATCTTTTGTATAACATTTTCTTGAATCTGTTCCATAATTTTATCCATCAAAAACTTTCCAATTCCAACAGTCAACATAGAGAGACCGAAGCTAATTGCTTTTTGTATTGCCCATTCTTTCCAACTAAAAGTACCTGATAATTCTGCCATATTAGAAACACCTTCACTAATTAAAGCATTGCCTATCTGAGTCAAACCAAAGGCTACTAAAACAGCTTCGGTAATGACTTGAACAAGTCCTATCATTGCAACGGCAAAAGCATTCCAATCCCACCAAGATTTATCTTCTTCAATAATCAAAAATTTACTAAGATTAAAACCTTCAAAAAAATCTTAATTCACTTGGAACATTTTCTTGATCTTGAAGATCTATAAAATCTTTTAAATTAGCTTTTAAACTTTTTTTAAATGAACAAGTATCTCCTTGTAAAGACAAAATTTTCGACAAAATTAATTCTTTATCATTTTCAAATTGAATACTTTTTAAAATTTTATTTAAAATTCTTTCAATATTTCTTTTAATATCTCCATATTTATATTTGGCAAGTCCACCAGACTTTAAAATATTTTTTTCTTTTAGATAAATTCGAATATTATTTCCTTCTTCTTCTTTAATAGTAAATGGTAAATCTGTGTTGATAAAAATATTGATTTTGTTGACTAATATTATCTTTTAATTCTATTAAAAATGTTTTAAGACCTTTTGTTTCATGACCATTACCATTAAAATTTAATTTTCGCATATTTTTCTTTCTATTGATTGTTCAAATAGAGAAATATTAACTTGTTGTGGATCTATTTTATCTTCTAAATCTTTCCAAACATTTTCATATATCCGTGGTAATTCTTTTTCTATTCTATTTATATTTAAAGTTTGCCATAATTCTTCACTATAACAAACAATATCGTCGAAATCTTTTTTTTCAAAATAAGATTTACTATTTAATAAACTAATTAATGGATCGGCAATCGAAGGATCAAGATCATTTCGAATTATCTTTTCTATTTTATCTCGTTCTTGTGAATTATTTCGAAATATTTTTCTTATTGTATCTCCTTGAATAATTTCATGGTGAACTAAAAGTGAATATAATTCTTTTCCTTTATCTTGGTTTTCACGAGTTAAACTTTGTTCATCTTTTGGATGTAAAATAAAATGAAATGGTTCTACTGTATCTCCAACAGCTTCTAATTTTCCTATTGTTTAATCTTGATAAAAATTTTCTTTTGAGGAAATTTTTTTGAAGGGTGCGGGTGTGTGAATGTGGGTAGGGGTCTTCTCTTTATCTACACCCACACCCAAATTTGAACTTAGCTCTACACTATTAGAGAACCTAAAGAGAAATCTCTGATCAAAATGCACTTTTTCCTGGAAACGAACTTTCTTCAAAATAAAAGGCAAAGCAACCAGACTATTTAATTTAAATTGATTACAATAGCTGATTTTCCACATTAATCGTTTGAATAAGAAAACAATTATTAATGCCTTCATTCAATTTACTAATTTAATCAAATAAATAACAGACACAACAGATATACAAAGAGGTTAATACAAAAAAAAATCATATTGGATTTCTTCATATGAAAATACTGGCAAAGAGTTCGTCTGTCTTGATATAAAAATTCAAAAATTATTTTCCTCTTATGCAATCATGATCATATGATGCCTGATCTGTTGTACCTAATCATACGAATTGAATCTTGCGATCAGCAGTACATATGAGTAAGATTTCTGGACAAATGACTATTTGAATTGAACTGAAGTCATTTGAAAAAAGAAACATAAATTAAATTTGAATAAATATTAGAACATAAAGAAAATTGTTTATGAATCTTATCAAAAGACTCATTGTTTAATACGTTACGTTCGGGAGAAGTTACTTGATATTTTAAACAAAAAACTTTACACAAATATTCTTTAAGCATCAACATCAATCTGAATTCTATCATGCATATCGAATATAAATATATCAATAAATATTTTATTATAAGCCTTTTTATTCATAGAAACTTCTCATAAAAGTGACGAGGAGGATATCATTTCATAGGGGGACATTTGCAATTTTCTTTAAATATCATTTAGATCAAATTTTTCTTCTACTTTTCAAAGATTCACTTATACTTCTTAACATGTGGTTCTTACGAAAATTCTTTTACAAGCATAGAACGTTAACACATCTTTATCAAAATTTTTCCATTGAAAGTCTAATGAGAAAAGAAATATATGGTTAATTAATTAATTGATTTATTATTATTGAGATTTCTTTTACAAAATCAAATATTTGATCTATACATAATTTGATTTCTAAAAAAAAAGCAGAGACACTTTTCAGTCAACGAAATTAACGTACTTCGAGTATAACAAAATATTTTCTTATTATTGTCAACAGATAACAAACTAATTGATATTATAAGATTTAAATAAATAAATATAAAGCATAAACAAAAGATATCTCATGTTCAAATCAATTTTATTAACTAATAATCTTAGTAATTTCCTTTTATACATTATTTTATTATTTCTTTAGTTCAATTATGCATTGTAACAAGCTCTCTTCAAATGAAATATTTTGCTTGTACATTTTCTCACCTATTATTTACTCACGTTCGTTCACTTTTTTTGGAAAGAAAAACAACATAAATATCGCAATAAAAGTGTCCCTTTTACAAACACTCGATAACTACATCAGTTCATTGCATAACGAAATCGGCAAAAAAATACCAATTGAACAATGTCTATATTGATGAGAGAATTGAATAGTTTTTTATGACTATATTAAGAAATGAAGACCCGTCAATTTATTCTTTTGTCATATCAATTACGGAAAACAAGACAAATCTAATAAAAAATATTCTAGTCTAGCTATGTATATACCTATTTAATTAATACTTTTTCTAATTATCTTTATAAAATTATGGAAAACGGATGTATGCCCGAATATGCCTGTATTATTTTCAAAAACATCAAAACTTAACGAGAAAAATACACAAATAAGTTGTTGAGTATGTTTTCTTTTTTCTGAAACTTCATAACATCCCCATCCAATTGAAACAAACAATATACCGACAATAATTTGACGAAAGATCTGAATAAACTAAATACTATGAAAACAAAAGGAAGTTCTTTTATCTGTTGAACAATTTCTGTAAGAGACAAAAAAAATAATATGAAATACACGAATACACCTACAATGGTCTATTACTATTATGAAATCATTAGATTGGCAAGTTTATTTTTTACTTAAATTTGTTTTTATCGACTGTGAAGTTGCAATCTATAAAAACACAGAATATACTTTATTTAATTCTAAGTATATGATATAATTTCATAGACAGTGATTTTTTCAGTAATTAGAAACAATTATCTATTTCATTGATCAATACTCGTGAATATTTAAACAAACTGAATGGATTTGATCAATAAAAGACTTTAGTTTTTGGAATTTTCAATGAACAAAGCAATTCCGTTCTTTCTTATATTTCTCAATTTTCATGATTCAGTTGATATGATCAATTAACTGATTTCACTTGGGCCTTGTGACAAGTGATGCATTGTTCAAGTGGAAAGAAAAAATTGTCA